GGCGGCCCGTGGGTCCCGACGGTAGCCCGCCCGCGGCGGAGGCAGACGCCGTCCCGAGGCTCCGCTGCCTGCGTGACTTTCGGTAGGACGGGGGCGGCACAGGGCTCCGGGAGGGCTGGAGGCTGGATGTGCGTATAGACCGTGCCAGCCCCGGCTGGACTCTGCTCTGTCCAGCGCCGGGGAGGGTCAGGTGCGGCCGCAGCATCCCCGCTCGAAACCCACCCGGCTGGCGCAGCGAGCAGGTGCCGCTGCCGGGGCGGAGGAAGCGGGGAGACCCCGGAGCGGCCCTGGCGGGTCTCTGAACCAATTAGAACGCAATGAAAGCCTCCTACCGGTATCCTGAACTACCTCTTACTCCGCCCCCCAAACGCAGACCTGCAATTCTAAGCCTAGAACAATTTCAAACGTCTATACCGAGAGGGCGCGACGCGCCAGCTGTGCCGCCTGCCACCCGGCAGAAGACCCTCCCCAAACTTTCTTTCCCAGGTTTTGAGCTCCGCACCTTTCACGTCCTTCTCAGCTCTTCACTGGGCGCCACTCTCTCTTTTTCTTTTCTTTCTTTCTTTTTTTTTCTCCCTTGTTCCCCTCCCTCCTTAATAACAGGAAGTTGGTTAAGCCAAATGTCAGTGGCCTAGTTTGCTGCGGGTTGGGACCCAATCTGGGGCAGGGGCCGAGGAGGTGGCCCGAGGGGCCCGCGCCACGGTCTGTTCGGTGTCGCGTCCCCCAGGAGTCGGTGCGTACCCCAGCGCCAGGAGCACCCGTGCTAGAGGTCTCCTGCGCCTGCCCTGGTCTGCCAGCCTAGCCCTGGGAGAGGAGGGGGCTTGCCCGCAGCCCCTGGCGCTGTTGGCCCTGCTGCCTACTGGAGCAGCTGGGGTTAACTTTATCCAAGGCCAGACTCACCGACAGAACTGGGAATGGCTTTACTGGATGGGGAAGAGGCGTGTTGAAACCAGAGTAAACGTGCGTCTCCGTCCACGTTGTTTATTCTGAGGCCTGGGCTCTTAAAGTGGAAAGGGCTTTTATTTGGAAATCCAGGGCCCGCCTGCAGCGGTGTGCTGGCCCTCTTGCTGACAGTTTCGTCTGCTCACTCGTCTTCAGTGGTTTCAGTGAAGGATGGAGTCACTAGCCAGGCCCCTCGTGGAGAGGTCCACAGGGGAAAAAAGCCAGTGGCGAGTTGGCTGTCTGACGTTGGCTGCCCAGATTCCCTGGCACCTGAGCCTCCTCTGTGCCGGTTTCCTCCCCAGGAGCAGGGGACCCAGCACGTGGGTCTCAAGTCTCCAGGGCAGCCAGCATGTCTGGGAGAGACCAATTGTGGTGAGATCAATTCCGACGGAGAGAAGACATTTGTTAAGTGGCTGCCAGGCGTCAGGTCCTGCCCTGTCCCACACTGGCAGCCAGTTTTATGGTTACTCTTGAGAAACTCTGAGAGTTTTGCCTTCCCTATTTGAGAGATGGCCAAAGAGGTTCAGGTACACAGTGAAAATGTCTGAGCCGGGTCCTGGCTCGGCCCTGCTAAGTCTGGCACCCCTCCTGCTGACCTGTGGCTGTGGACAGTGATGTGGTGCAGCCCCGGAGGGGGGCGGGGCCCACTGTGTGCCAACTGGAGCCTCGCGGCCTGAAAAAATTCTGTCTACCAGGATTTCAGGAGATGCGTCTTTGGCAAAGCATTGAATGATCCCGGTCTGCCCAAATTGTTCAACCTGCAAACCCCTTGCCCACCCTGCCCTCTAGCCAGAGGCAATGGGTAGTGTTGGCTGTGACGTGATGGGGGGGACTGAGTGCTCCTGCTGGGTGTTTTTTGGTTTTGTTTTTGTTTTCGAGAGAAGCCTGTTTCTACCAAGACTTAGCTTCACCTCTGAGAGTTGGCTTCTGGGACAGTCTATGCATACTGTATTGGGTTCAGCTTCCACCTTGAAACTGATTCTAGGCGTGTTTGTGTATGTGTGTTTTCTGGAGATACGGGTGGTCGCAGGGGCCGGGGGAAGGTGGTAGGTTATACTATTGGGTTGTCAGAAATGACATATTTTTCTATGCAAAAATGTGTTATGATTTTTTTTTGACAACCCAATACTTACAGTTGTGGGGTAATTGAAGGCCACAGTTTGAACATACCTTTCTAAAAATATGACATCACTTTTATCTTGGTCGCCTTGAGCCTTCATGCCCAGGACTCTGGCTTTCTGCCCAGCCCTCTTTCAAAAGAAAATCATGATTAGTCTGACACCAATTACATTCTAGTATGAATCAACTTAAAGACTAGGCTAGTTGTGACTGTGGCCATTGGTGGCCCATTTCCAGGAGCTGTCACATACTCCCTGATTTCCTCCCTGCCTGTGACTGGAATGTCTCCATGCTCTCCTCTCGGGTCCACACCCCCACCAGGGTTTGTCGCTCAGCCATGAGCCTGCCCCCTTCACTCCCCTCTGCTGAAGAGTAGGGGTCCTGTATTCTTGATGGAGAGCCTTGGCTCTGGTAGGAGGGGCTACAGAATGAGTACAATATTTGGGTTCAATATTGCCCATCTTAGAAGCCCACCAGGGCTAACAGTCCCTACTCCATGAAGAGCCAGGGAAGGGAGTACCATTTATTCACGCTGAGACTTTTCACTCTTTGTATCACCTCCCCACCCCCTGCCATGTCAGTCCTCCAAAGAAGGAGGTGGAGTTATTGTCATTTTATAGAGGAGGACACTGAGACTTAAGAGAGGTTGCAACTTGCTCCCATCACACGTAGTGAGTGACCCTGCAGGGAGTCCTTCCTCCATCTGTATGTGAGTGAGGTCCGTGTTGGGGGATGACGCTCCCAGGGAACTCAGGCTGCCCTCCAAACTCTGGGGCTTGGCCTCTGCTCCTCTGCTGTGCTTTCCAGCCCCCCCCCCACTATTGTCATTATTTATGGACACATCTTCTCACCCCATTGTGAAATGATATTGCAAACACTCATAAACTTGAGCAGATTTCTTTTGTGGTTCTCACAAACCCTCTTTGCTCTAAATTTCCTTAGCCTTTTTTTTTGGATAGGTTTTTGCTATGGGGCTCGTGCGCTCATCAGAAAGACCGAGAGAGACAGAGAGACAGAAAGTGAGAAATCACCCCCCAGAGCAGATGGCCATGCTGCAATCCCTTCTCCTCCATTCTCCTCTTGGGATCTTGGGCACACACACACATGCGCCCAGTGTGAGTTTAAGCCGCTGGGTCCGGGACTCGAACCACGGTCAACTACATGGGAGTCCAGTGACATAGCCATTACGCTAATTGCTGGTTCCTAAATTTCCTTAGCCTTTTATACCAGTCTCCCCTACTGTGTGTGCCACAATGTACTGCCTCCTCCATTAACCTAGTGTGTTGGTTAAGATGCTGGACTCCCACTTGGTCAACTGCAGTTTGAGTCCCAGACCTGAAGGCTTGAAACTCACACCAGGCATGTCTGTGTGCATACCCAAAATCCCAGGAGGAGAATAGAAGAGAAGGGATTGCAGCGTGGCCATCTCCCTGTGGGGTGATTTCTCACTTTCCATCTCACTGTCTCTCGCTGTCTTTCTCTGGCAAGTGCACATGCCCTATGGCAAACACCTTAAAAAATAATAACACAAACATAAACAAACAAACACATTATAAACATTCTCATATAATAAACCCATATACCTGTCACCCAACTCCAACCGTCATCTGGCATATACAGGCTGGTTTCCTTTCTCTGTCTCTTCCCCTTCCCTCTCTTCCACACTTCCATTATTGCATAAGACCGAATTAACCGTACTTACCTGGTATCCCCTGGCCATTTCCAGATCTCCTTGTTGTCTCAAAATCACCTTTATAGTCTGTTGGAATCAGGCTTCAGTCTGTTCGTCGCATTTGGCTGTTCGGCCTTTTGCACCTCTTTTCACCTGGAGGACCCCTCCCTTGAGTCAGCAATTCCCCTCTTCTTAGGTGCCCGTCTCCCCACTTAGTGAGCCAAAGCCTTGGGACTGTGCCCTCTGTGCCCTGCTGAATCCGCATGGCGGGGCTAGGCGAGCAACTGCCTGATTTGGTCCCAGCCCCTTAGGAAATGGTTTGGAATGAATGAATGAATGAATGAATGAATGCTGCCGTGGGCTCACGTGACTGACGTGCTTGTGTTTAGATAAGAGGTTTTAAAAAGGACGACTTGCTCGCGTGCGGACACTTCCTCAGCAAGCCTTGGTCTGTAAACATCCTGAACTCGTCAGACTCTGCTGTGCTCACCCTCGCTGCCCTGGCTTGCGGTGGGGAGCCCAGACAACCACATTCAGGCCCTAATCAGCCACCGGCCTCCCCAGATCACATGAGGGCTGACGGGGACTGAGGTCATTCTGCCCAGGCTTTGAACTCCACCACAGGAGTGACCATGCTCGATACTGGGCTCGATGGAGAACACTGGACACCTTCTCTTCTTCTCTCTCGGGGCAGTTTTCCTCCCTGTGCCTTCGAGAGTCTTTTCTAAGCTGCCTCACACCTGGGTGAGTTGTGGAGCCTTTCACAAATCACTTCATCTGCAAGTGGGGTGAGCTGTGACAGAAAGTGAGCATTTATGACTTAATGAAGTGCCCTGCCGGGACTTGCTCTGTGGGGTAGCATCTGCACCAGCTGGTCTATGGGCGCCCTGATGAAGGAGAGCTGGTGCACGGGGCGGGGGGGAGTTAAAGACGGGCCACCACGTCTCTAGATAACACACTTCACACGTGGATCCCTTGCCAAGTCTTCTTAAGGCTGCTGGGCACTTCCGAAATGTCTTTTCACCCACTTAGGAGCGGCCCCTTCTTGCAAACAGTTTTTCAGATGAGAGTCATTGCTTTTTCTTGCTGTTGTTGGCATCCTCCCCTTTTGTTTTCTTCTTCTTCTTCCTCTTCTTCTTCTTCTTCTTCTTCAGATAAATTTTTGCTATGGGGTGTATGTATTCACTGGAGAGACTGAGGGACAGGAAGCAGGAAATCACCCCCTGGGGAAGATGGCCATGCCACAGTCTCCTCCATCCACCTCTTGGGATTTTGGGCATGCACGCACACGCGCCTGGTGTGAGTTTTAGGCTGCTGGGTCTGGGATTTGAACTGCAGTTCACTACGTG